AAAAAAAAAAAAAAAAAAACATATATATATGTATATGTACTGAAGCAGTTATAGAGGTCATAAACTGAAGAAGATGCAGGTGGAAAATTTAGTCTGTAAATCTTTTTTTTATCTGGTCCTGCATATTTTTTATTTGGCTTTAGATAGAACACAACTGTCCTACTCTGGTTTTCTCTTGGGTGGCCTAGTTTACATGCTTACATTACTGACTTGGCTTCTGTAGGCATTGTGAAGTATGTGATCCTTGAACTAGCAGCACTGTATCCATAGATAAACGAAAGATTGACAGATTTTCCTGAATACACCGATTGTCAACCTGAGGGCCTGTTGCATGCTCACCTCTCCCTGTGGTCACACTTTTGAGTCTTTTGCTCTAAGTGGTCAGCCTGGAGCTTGCCTTATACTGGAATGAGGATAAAGGGCTGAGCACCACTGCTCAGCAAGGCTGGGCATCTGGGAAATGTTAACCGTCTATCTGCCTGTCCTAAGTTGGGTATTTTGATACTGGCAAGGGTTAGTCAATGTAGCATTTACACTAGTTAGGCTGTTAACTGATTTGAACTGGTCTCTTCATGAGCCTGAATTATTTGTCCCTATAGGCTTGAGTCCCTGGCATGCTCAGTGACTGTTGTCTTAGATTTTAAAAATAAAACAAGACAAAACCAAAAACAACTCTTTGTAGTAGATTTGGTTTATGAACAGCTACAGATTGGTTGATATGCTGAAGAGAATGATTGGCAAGCAGTAAAAAGCAGAAATGGTAATATTCTCTCTTACCTTTGTAGAGTGGGGTACTCTTCTAAAGGCTGTTAGGAGATTGAATTTCTATCTTCAGTAGCCTTGAGAGAGAGAAGCTTGGGTTTGCTACCATTTATATTTTTAAGGAAAATGGGGTCCAGGGTCCAGTGACTTTTTCTTTTTCTTTTTTTTTTTTTTCTCTCTGTTGCCCAGGCTGGAGTGCAGTGGCGTGATCTTGGCTCACTGCAGCCACGGCCTCCTGGGTTCAAGCAATTCTTCTGCCTCGGCCTCGCCGGTAGCTGGGATTACAGGCATCTGCCACCACGCCCAGCTAATGTTTTTGTATTTTCAGTAGAGATGGGGTTTCACCATGTTAGCCAGACTAGTCTCAAACTCCTGATCCACCCGCCTCAGCCTCCCAAAGTGCTGGGATTATAGGTGTGAGCTCCCGCACCACCAGAGGTCCAGTGACTTCTGGGCTATACTGTGAGTGAGCTGATGTGTGGTGCTGGACCTGGTTATACTAGCCCAGTGATCTTTTCCAGTTGGTTCTAATCAACTCTTCTTTAGGCAAAAGAAGAGTTTACTGCCTTTACAGCAAAGGCAGTAAAGATTTTGCTTCAAGATTATTTTAAAAATAAAGCTCTGTTTCTTTTAGGTTGGTACCCAGCCCTTTAATCGAGCCATGCTTTTCAACGTTGGCTTTCAAGAAGCAATGAAGGACTTGGATTGGGACTGTTTAATTTTTCATGATGTAGATCACATACCAGAAAGTGATCGCAACTATTATGGATGTGGACAGATGCCAAGGCATTTTGCAACCAAATTGGATAAGTATATGTATCTGTAAGTATCTTTTCTTCTTAATTAAAGAGGTTAAATCTGAAAGGATGATGAGCGATGTGAAGAAAAGGGAATCTAATTAGCTACAGCCTAGATGTCCATTAAGCTACAGCCTAGATGGTTGGATAAACAAAGTATATATATCCATATAATTGGAACACTATTTGGCAATAGAAAGGAATGAAGTACTGATATGTGCCAAAACATGGATGAACTTGGAAAACATTAAGAAGCTAGACACAAAAGGTCATGTATCACATGATTCCAGTTATCTGAAATGTCCAGAATAAGCAAATCTATAGAGACAGAAAGTCACTAAATGGTTATAAAGGGCTAAAGAACATAGGAGGATTAGGGAGTGATTGCTAATGGGTGCAAGGCTTTGCAGGGGGCAGTGATGAAACACGTTAAAATAGATTGTGGTCCTGGTTGCACAATTCAGTGTATAAACCAAAACCATTGAATGATATACTCTAAACGGGTGAATTGTGTATGGGTGTGTCAACACTAGCTCACTCAAGCTATTAAAAATTAGTTTGCAAAAATTCATTTTGCTACTTTAATTGATACATGTCAGCATGAGGAAGCAAGTTCATATAATAGTTCAGGTCAGGAGCACAGAGAGCACTGTTTTTAGTCCTCAAATGAATAATGTTCTAGGGGAAACAATTACCCTGTAACACACAGATGATTGATTTCCCACATCTCCTCCTAGGCTTCCTTATACTGAGTTTTTTGGCGGAGTGAGTGGCTTAACAGTGGAACAGTTTCGGAAAATCAACGGCTTTCCTAATGCTTTCTGGGGCTGGGGTGGAGAAGATGACGACCTCTGGAACAGGTACCAAAACGCTGTTTTTGGTGTCTTCTAGAAATGCTACCTTAAACTGCAGGCCGATGCTATCAGATAGAAATATGACGCAAACCATGTGTGTAATTTAAAATGTTCTAGTAGCTATAGTTTAAAAAGTTAAGGGAAAAAAAAAAAAAAGAAATTGACCAGATGTCGTGGCTCACACTTGTAATTCCAGCACTTTGGGAGGCCGAGGTGGGAGGATCATTTGAGCCTAAGAGTTTGAGGCCACAGTGAACTGTGATTATGCCACTGCACTCTAGCTTGGGCGACAGATTAAGACCTGTCTTAAAAAATACACACACACACACACACACACACACACACACACACACACACACGCAAATTGCAAGTGTTTTTAAAAAAATCTTAATTTAAAAATATCTTAATATCTTAAAAAACAAACTGTATATCCCACCAAAACAGCTATTTTCTTTTTTCTCCTTTCACATGGAAAAATAAACTTAAAATATAATTTGGCAGTTTTTTCTTATAATAAAGAATATGCTCATTGTAAAATACAGATCAGTATAGAAATAAAATAAATTACCCTCAACAAGAAGTAACATGTTACCATTTCATTGAGTTTATTTTGTGTTTAAAAAGTGGCAGGTGAACAGTAATTAAAATCTCTGTGCATCAGTTTTTAAAATCACAGATCTCAAGATTGTGAAGATCAAATGATGTAATGTGTATGGAGCTCTGGCGTATCTGACGTGTGATAAGCTCTCAGTAGATGCTTTAATTACATCAATATTAAATACTCTGTAAACAGGATCTTAAGTGGCTCCATTTAATTCCATTATATAGATGCACTTTATGTAACTATTTCCTGTTATATATTAGAATCTTTTCCATTTCTCACTGGTTAGACTGTGATATAGTATTCTTTTGCTAAATTCCTGTAAGCGAATATAGCCATTAAGGCTCCTTTTTTAAAGTTCTGTCCTTTAATGGATGCAAATAAGGCTCTTAAAGAATATTATAACTAAGTGGCCCTCCTGTCATAAGGTTCTAACAAAACTTTCCACTTTACCAACATTCTGTGTACTAAATACCCACTTCATTGGAACCACTCTAAACTGAAGAGTAGAATATTAGTGATATGTCTACATAGACTTAGCTGTGTCATCACATAAGGCTTGTGTTGTACAAATTTGTGTGAACAATCCTGTGTGTGACTGGAATAAACTAATATTTTTATGGAGTAAGTAAATAGTAACCTAATAAGGAACAAAGGCAAAAGAACTTCCACCTGGCATCTGTTTACTTTGTAGCTTGGTTTTTGAAAAGTATGTGTTCGTTGTTAATTACAAGTAATGTTTTGCTGATAAAAATTCAAATGATAGACTGGGTACCATGGCTCACACCTGTAATCCCAGCTCTTTGCAAGGCTGAGGCTTGAGGATCACTTGAGCCCAGGAATTCAAAACCAGCCTGGGCAACAGTGAGACCTCGTCTCTACAAAAAATAAAATAGCCAGTTGTGGTGGCACATGCCTGTAGTCCCAGCTACTCAGGAGGCCCAGTTGGGATGGGAGGATTACTTGAGCCTGGGAGGTCGAGGCTGCACTGCACCGTGATGGCCCCACTGCACTCCAGCCTGGGCAACACGCAATGGACCCTGTCTCTTAAGAAAAAAAAAATTCAGATGATACAGGTGTCTAAGTGTTAATCCCCAATTTGATTCTATTTTATTCCCAAGAAGTAGCCATTTCTTTCTGTTCTTTTTTCCTTTTTTTTTTTTTTTTAAGATGGATTTTTTTCTTGTCGCGCAGGCTCAATCTTGTGGTGGTGAAATCTTTACTCACTGCAACCTTCACCTCCCGGGTTCCAGTGATTCTCCTGTCTCAGACTCCTGAGTAGCTGGGATTACAGGCCTGTGCCACCATGCCCGGCTAATTGTATTTTTAGTAGAGATGGGGTTTCACCATGTTGGCCAGGCTGATCTCGAACTTCTGATCTCAAGTGATGCACCCGCCTCAGCCTCCCAAAGTGCTGGGATTACAGGCATGAGCCACTGAGCCCAGCCTGTTTTTTCTGTTCACATGAAAACTTTAATTCAGTTAAAATTGAGTTTTAACTCAGTTTGTTTTCTTTTTCTTTTCTCCCCCCCCTTAACTTCAAATGACACAGTGAGTCATTTGAGTGAGCGAGAAAGCTTTTGCTGTGTGTGATTTCCAGGGTAAGCTTGTAACATGGCTTGTAGGCTTTGGTCACTCCTGGACTATTACCATTGTATCTAAAAGCCCGTTGTCTTGGTCTTGGACAGAGTCCAGAATGCAGGCTATTCTGTGAGCCGGCCAGAGGGTGACACAGGAAAGTACAAGTCCATTCCTCATCACCATCGAGGAGAAGTCCAGTTTCTTGGAAGGTTGGTGCAATTTATTTATGTCTCTTGAAAGTATCCCCTATACTTTCATGTCCAGATGTGTTAGAGCATATTACAGCCCCTCCTCCTCTTCCCCTCTCCAAGGCTCTGTTCTGACAGCTGTTTGACAGTTGTTGCATGTATTTTAACTCTGAGGCAGACCAGTAGGGGGATCAGACCATTGGTGAAAATGTCAGTAGTAAGATTATTTTAAGGAAATCTCTCATTCTATGTCTTCAGCATTGTGGTCTCCTCAGTAGCCTTTGGGGAGTTTGAGAAGAAACAGCTTGGATGAAAGTCCCTGAGGTGACAGAGCAGCTGGCCCCTTTTTGCAGGCTCCCATTCTGAATGGGTGTGCTGAGCTTCTGTCTGTGTGGTTGCAGTTGCTGTGTTACCTTTTTTTTTTGGTCTTTTCTAAATTGTGGGAAAGACTGTGCTCCAGACAACCAATTCTAATTGCTGAAATTCCGTTTTCGTGGGAGTAAAATGGCACTGAATACAGAGTATGAACTTTCTCATCTGTTGTATTTTTAATCTTTTCCCTTCCACTTCCCCACTCTCTGACCTTGGCCAAGTTACCCAACATGACTAAGCCTTTCCTCATTTGCTAGCAGGGGCTGGGTGGGCATTAAATGAAATAAGTAAAGCACCTGGCATTAAACACAGGAGGTGATTCTAATAACTGCACTCAGCCTGGCATAGCAGAGTAGCTGTGCGCCCGCCTCGTGCTACGGAAGTGCTGCCATTGGCTGCATCGTCTGAGTGCAGAGGTGTGGATCCTCACACAGAGCCACCTCTTCTCTGTTCCGACCCTAAACAGGTATGCCCTGCTGAGGAAGTCAAAAGAACGGCAAGGGCTGGATGGCCTCAACAACCTGAACTACTTTGCAAACATCACATATGACGCCTTGTATAAAAACATAACTGTCAACCTGACACCCGAGCTGGCTCAGGTGAACGAGTACTGAGAGGAGAGAATGTATGTTGGCTTTACCCACCGCCACCAAGAAAGCAGTCTGATGAGATTTTTTTTGTGGGGGGGGGGTCTACACAGCAAGAGAACAGAAATACAGTGTCTCATGAAGGATCACAGGGTTTGGGGGGAAATGTGACCGCACACGCACAAACGCCTTCACTGGATCAGCTGCTGGGACCGAGGGAGTGAGCTTGGGGACATCCTTCGTCAGCACTGGCTTTCTGTTTTCACAAGACAGACGTCTGTCCCGCTGCTCTCTCCCCGTCTCCTACCCCACATCCTGTCTTAGCCACAGTCTCCAGAACCCGTGATGAACTGTGATCTGCCGTGGTCCTGCCGTGGAGCCTGTCCCTACATGTGACCTTGCAGCCTCTTGGCCTTCAGAGCAGAGGCAAACCCAGCACAGGGCAGCTGCGTTTTAGGAAGAGCAAATGAAACTCCACACCATTCTTCTATATCTCTGGTGTTCTCTTTGGTTTCATTTTTTTAAAAAAATTACCTTTGGGTGGGGATAGAGGGTGGAGGGGAGGGTATTTGGGAAAGATAAATAGACATAAATATATAACAATCACTTCTTGAAGAAGTATAATTGTAAATAAGCCATGTAAAATGCCTTTTTAAAATTTAATTTCTAGCTGGCTCCAGTTCAAACCCAGGATTTATATATTAGACCATTTATTTGGTTGGCAAGTGCAGGAACTCAGTTAAAATGCTGTTGAAGGATATCATCTCCCGAATGGCTGTTGCCTCGGGAAGGGAGTGGATATAGGGCATGTCACAAAAGAACAAAATAACCCGACCTTTATTGCCGGGAGCTGGCTTCTGCCCCTTTCTTTCTCCCCACGAGTCTTGTCCTTGACTTCTGCTGTGGACTCACTCTTCCCTGTTGGCCACGTATGCGCTCATCCCACTCTCCGCTAAGCGGAGAGCAGGCTGCTTCCCGCCCAAAGCAGGCCCTCCGCGGCTCGCTGCGCACACATCCCTGGCTCTCCCCACTTCATGTTTTGTCCTTTTATCAGCATGTGGTTTGGGAGGGGGGTTGTATGGGAACCCCTCCCCCCCTTCTTTTCTCTGTGGAAACTTGGCCACAGTTTCTGAACAATGTGCCTACATTACCAGCTGGCTTCAGTGATTCCTCTGTTTCCCTTTTTGGTTTCTGGAAAGATTCTTTGTCAACATTAGTAACTGATACACAGAACCAAGGAGCACTGGAGTAGGAAAGAATTGAGCCAGGGAGCCGGTGACACTTGTGTGCTGTGGGGCAGCTGGGATCCAGGAAAGACCGGATTGAAGCTTTGAAATTAGACTAACAAAGCTCCAGATGGCAAGAGCCCAGGTGCGCTGCTTACACCCCCACCTGCATTTTGAAGTCATATTCTTTTTTTTTTTTTTTTTTTTAAAGACAGGGTCTGGCTGTGTCTGTCACCTGGGCTGGAGTACATCGGCACCATCACAGCTCACTGCAGCCTCCATCTCCCAGGCTCAAGCCTTTTCCCACCTCAGCCTTCCATGTAGCTGGGACTACAGGTGCAGACCACCATGCCTGGCTAATGTTTTGTATTTTTAGTAGAGATGGGGTTTCGCCATGTTGCCCAGGCTCCTCTCAAACTCCTGAACTCAAGCAATCCACCCACCTTGACTTCCAAAGTACTGGGATTATGGGCAGGTGTGGGCCATCATGCCCAGCCTTGAAGTCATATTCTAAATTGTATTTGAATTTGTGCCTCTTTGTTTTTTCCCCCGAACCAAAGCCCTCAATTTGTAGTCCCCATCCGCTTCTGCAGAAATCTGGAAAACGCCAGTCCCTCCCCTCCTTTCTTTTCCATACAGCATATTTATATATTGTGATGAGGAGTACTTTCTGAAGAGTACTTCGTATTTTTTTTAATTGCCTTGTTTGCCTTCAACTTCCTTGATTTTCATGGTTTACATGGGTGTGTGTGGGGGGGGTGTGTGTGTGTATATACGTGTGGGTTAGGGCTTTTTTCGTTGCATGTGATGGTTCTGTGGACATATGATCCCCGCAAACTGTGGGAGTGATTGGCCAGGCCTTGTTTTTATGTTTGTGTTTTCTTTTGAAGAATAGAGTGGTATTTAGAAAATAAATTGCATTGCAAAGCTCTTATCGGCTCGTATGAGAGAGCAGGCTCCTGCCCTTGAAAATGCTGGTAAGCTATAGCATATGTTTTTTAAAACTTTTAAGCATTTCATGCTTTAAAATACCTTCACAAGGAAACATTACACCCAGAGGTTCATTTGGTTTTCCTTTGTTTTATGGTGCATATAGCAATAAAGGACCCCGACCCCATTTCGCCCTCCACCATGCAACCCCACCCCCACCGGGCCTTTGTCCCTGCCGCTTTTCTCCCCTTCTCATTCTCCTCTCCCTTTTCCTCACAGAAGGCTGTGAGTTGCTTTCATTGTGACAACACTGTGATGTCATTTGGAAGGATTTGCCAGTACAGACTGATTCTGAATTATAGGCGGCAGTGTTGTTTGAAGCTCTACATTACCATAATTGCCATCAAGCACACACTGTTGGCAAAAGACTAACACCTGACTTTTGAAATGCTTATAAGAGAACAAAAGGAAAGGTCTCTTTTCACTGCTTAAAGTGGGGTCACTTCGATACCCTTGCGGTCACGTCCAAGTCTGTCTGATGAGTATGGAATCTCTGAATGTAACTGTCATGCATCTACCAGGTCTTGAATATTATATGGGAAATGTCATAGTTAAAAACGTATAGCCAGGCCCGTGTGCCGTTAATAGCGTGGAATTGTCATGTTAAAAAAAACAGGAACCAAGTGTGACCTTGTGCATATGTTGACAGCTGAAATTCTTCATCGCTACTGATGGGTGGCCCCTTAAATTAACCTTGTCTTTGATTGCTGTGTGCAGGGAAAGGTGTCCCTGTTCATGCTGTTTTTGGGGGAAAGGGAGTACTTACAAGAATACTCATTTTGACATAATAGGTCCTCTTGTCAAGAGATCCTCTACCACAGACATTAATAGCTGAGCAGCAGCCACATGGATTGATTGTATCCACCACCATTGACAATAGCATTGAGCGTAGCTAGCTTATTTCCATCACTACGTGTTTTTGAGCTTGCTCTTATGTTTTAAGAGGTGCCAGGGGTACATTTTTGCACTGAAATCTAAAGATGTTTTAAAAAACACTTTTCACAAAAAATAGTCCTTTGTCATTACATTATTTACTCATGTGTTTGTACATTTTTGTATGTTAATTTATGAATGATTTTTTCAGTAAAAAATACATATTCAAGAACCAAACCTTGGTGGTTGTTTCTGTTTGTCTAGGACAGGTGGGCTCCTTGGGTGGGGTCTTTCCTTTTTTCCTTTCCTTTCCTACAGGAGTTCAACTTCAGGCAGCTCAGCTGAGCTCTGGGTCTTGCTGGGGTAAATACTGCCTGAGCCGTGTTGCAGGTGGATGGACTGAGTGAATAACTACACAGTGTAATAGAGGCGCTGCGCCCACGGTGCTGCCAGGGAACACCCACACTGGTTTTCTTTCAGGAATCACCCAGGTGGTACCAATAAAGTTGAATAAGACACTTGAGTAAGGGGACTTGGGGGTGAAGGGGATGGTGAGGGTTGATTGAGTTTGATTCCAGAAGGTTCTCTGGGATCAGTCTAGGGTTTATCTGCCTGATTCTGCTCAGAGATTATTATCATGACTTCTATGTGTTGAATGTTTGCCACTCACAAACATTAATAAACATATTAATAGTGTCAGATGCTGGGGACAATAATAGAGAAAATAAGGATCAGTGATCTCGTTAAGCTTATGGTTCACTGGCAGTTATGACTAAAATTGTATCCTCAATACATGCTCCAGAAGAGGAAGCTGTGGGTGATGAGTGCATAGTAGGGCGGGCATCCGGTGGGAATGTAGGGAAGGTGGGAGCGAGTGAGCTAGGGGAGACAAGGAACATGGGTGCACAGCTGCAGGGCAGGGAGGAAGCCAGTGTGGCTGGAGTGGAGGGCAGGGGGTGCACAGGGACGGCCGGGCTGGGGAGGTGGGCGTGGGCCGTGCAGTGCAGGGCTTTGCAGGACAGGGTGAGGAATTTGTATTTCATCCTTAGAGCAATGGATTTGAGAGTTTTCAGCAGGTAGGGCTGTGCACTTGCACTGATGACAGGGCCATTCCCTGAGACGGGGGCACTGGAGTCAGACCAGATTGGTGGGGCAGATAGGAGGTCAATTGTGACTGCTGAGTTCAGGGAGTTTTGAGACAACTTGGCAGAGATGGCAGGGTGGGGGCCATGGTAGACTGGGGAGTCTCAGGGTGGAGGAGGTTGCTGGGGGATTGAGAACAAAAAGCACAGAGTGAGAGAAGGCAGCGACCTTGGCCCAGCCTCTGCAGGTTGAGAAAAGGAGGACGAGTGAGCAGGCAGGAGGGTGGGAGGCCGAGCAGGCCCAGAGGGAGAGTGGTCAGCAGCGCTGAAGGCAGCAGACAAGCGACACAAGAGGAAGAGGGAGGGAGAAACAGTGACTTGGCAATGGGCAGGTGTTGGAAATGTGGCAGGACCCGTTTTGCTGACCCAATGTGGTAGAAGGAGGAGATAGCAGCAGAGTGTGGACGTCTCTTGGATTTCCTGGAAAGGGGTAGAAAGAGGTCAGGGCTACAGGAAGCATGCGAGGCTGGGGGCTGGGGGCTGAGATGGGGTCCGGGTTTTGGTTTTCCCACCAGAGAAGTTTGTGTTTTTTTCTGAACACCGGGAATGTCCAAGAGAAACGCAGCTGAATATGTATAAGAGACCAAGTGATCGAGTGGGAATGTCCCTAAACTACTGGCAGGAGATGAGATTCAAATCAGAAAAACTGAACAGGAGGAATTGGGGAGCTTGGTATAGGCCATCCCTTTGGCAGGTAAACACCCCGTGAAGTCCATTGTTGCTATGGAGAAGGTTAGAGATCCTTCCAGCCAGCTGCTGGAGTTGGGATTCAGCAGAATTGCTTCCTGGCACCACCACTTCCTCCACACTCTCAACATCTTTTTTTAATTTTTGGGGAGGTCCAGTAATAAAAATAGTTTCTATTTGTTAAGCACTTGCTATGTGCCAGGGCCCGTGCTAAGTGCATTACACAATGTGAGTTCTCAGCTCTTTGAGGCCGACATTGCCCCTTGTTCTAGAACAGGGCTTCTCCACATTGCTCTTGACAAGTGGGGGAGCCGTCCTGCTCATTGCAGGGTGTTCAGCAGCACCCCTAGCCTCCTCCCTCTAGGTACAAATCCAAATGGAACAGCTACTGTAGACAAACTGAAGCCATAGCTTGCCTGAGGTCACAAAGCCAGCAACTGAGCCAGCCGGGGGCATTTTTACCCCAGAGAAGATGCTCTTGACCCCTAAGCTGCTTCTGCCGATCCAACTTTTTTGCATATGTGCTCTAAATAGCTTTTGTTCACAGACACAGCTGAAAAATCTATTATAAAAGTAACGTGAATATCTGCTTGCTGGAAAATAAGTGTAAACCTCTACTTTCATGTCAGCAGTTTGGCTGATGTCTAAATTTTTTATTTTTTTGAGATAGAGTCTCACTCTGTCACCTAGGCTGGAGTATGGTGGTGCAATTGTTGCTCATCTCAGCCTCAACCTCCTGGGCTCATGCGATCCTCCCACCTCAGCCTCCTAAGTAGCTGGTACTACAAGCCTACGCCACCATGCTCAGGTAATTTTTATAATTTTTGTAGAGATGGGGTTTTGCCATGTTGCCTAGACTGGTCTTAAACTCCTGGGCGCCAGCTGTCTTCTTGCCTTGGCCTCCCAAAGTGCTGGGATTCCAGATGTGAGCCACCATGTCCAGCAATTGGCTGGCGTCCAGATGTATACCTGCATACCTACATGCATGCTTAGGAAAACAAAGGCATAGTTTAAAAACCATGAGTTGTCCTACAATTACTTTTGTTTTTTTTCTTAATGTTTCTGGAGACCTCTTTTCCGTGATTGAAGAATTTTTTCAAATAAAGCTCAGATGTTACCTCCTTGGAGAAGCTTTGATGAGCACCCCTGCTTTTCTGATTGTGGGTCTTGAGAACCCTCATTTCGGAAAGGTCCCGCCCAATACGCTAAAGGAAGGAATACAGCACAGAGAAGTGGAGAAGACTCTGAACAGACAGCCTCACTGGGGTTCTCCGCTCAGCCTATTAGTGTTAGACCATCCCCTTTTCATTCAATCACATTTCTACCCTCAGTCATGCCTACCCAACAAAGTCCCCATCAAAGGCTCAAGAGGGCCAGGCCTGGTGGCTCATGCCCATAATCCCAACATTTTGGGAGGCTGAGGTGGGTGGATCACTTGAGGTCAGGAGTTCGAGACCAGCCTGACCAACATGGGGAAGCCCTTTCTCGACTGAAAATGCAAAAATTAGCTGCATGTGGTGGCACAGGCCTGTAATCTCAGCTCACTCAGGAGGCTGAGGCAGGAACTGCCTGAACTCTTGAGGCGGAGGTTGCAGTGAGCCAAGTGCAATGCACTCCAGCCTGGGTAACAGAGTGAGATCCTGTCTCAAAAAAAAAAAAAAAAAAAAAAAACTCAGAGAGCTTCCAGATAGCTGAACACATGGAGGTTAATAGAAAGGTGAACCAGAACTCATCGACGTTCTGGGAGGGTGGCATGCCCCAACCCTATGGGGACTGGCTCAGGACCCTTCCAGACCTCACCATGTGCATCTCATCTGGCCATTTAACTGTATCCTTTAAAAGAGCCTTGTCTTAAACTGGTAGACATCAGTAAGTTTCCCTGAGTTCTGTGAGCTGCTCTGGCAAATTAATTAAACCCAAAAAGCAGGTCATGGGAACTCCAATTTGAAGCGGGTCTATCAGAAGTTCTGGAGGCCTGGACTTGTGACTGGTGAGAAGGAAGGGTCAGTCTTGACTGAGCCCTCAATTCATGTGACCTGAGGCTATCTTCAGGTAGATAGCATCAGAGTAGAATTGGGGGATGCCCTGCTGGTGTCCACTGCTTAGTGCTTGGGAAAAAACCCACACACATTTGGCCATAGAAGTCTTCTGTGGCCAGCCTAGTTGGCTCACCCCTATAATCTCAGCACTTTGGGAGGCTGAGATGGGCAGATTACCTGAGATCAGGAGTTTGAGACCAGCCTGGCCAACATGGTGAAACTCTGTCTCGACTGAAAATACAAAAATTAGTTGGGCGTGATGGCAGCTGCCTATAATCCCAACTACTCTGGCAGCTGAAGAGGGAGAATCACTTGAACCCGGGAGGTGGAGGTTGCAGTGAGCTGAGATTGTACCACAGCACTCTAACCTGGGTGACAGAGTGAGACTCTGTCTCAAAAAAAAAAAAAAAAAAAGTCTTCTGTGTTGATTGCTATAGTGTGAGAACAGAGGAAAAACAGTTTCTTTTTCTGCTCTCACCGGGGCCATATGTAGTCTCTGTCACTCAGCTATTCAGCTTCTCAGTTCTGCCCCCATGGCTGAAGCAGCCCCAGATAACATGTAAACAAACAGGCATTCCAATAAAACTTTATTTAGAAAAACAGGCGGGTGGCCGTAGTTTGTGAACCCCCGAGTTTGGCTAAAAATCAATAGAAATGTGAAGAGTGAAGGAGGATTACAGAACCAGGAAGCAACCCAGGGGAATAAGTAACAATGTGTCCTGGCTAGTTCATTGCTATGTAACACATAATAGCAATAACATGGAAGGAAGTCAAACCGCCAGGGGACAAAAAAGTGGCTGAACAAGCCAGGCTCTGTCAACGCAGAGGAAAAGGAAGTGCCACAAAGTGACAGATTACACAGGAACAAGAAACAGCAGGCCTGCAAGTGAAGAAAGGACACACCACAAGAAGGATGTGCTTACAACAGAACCCTGGGCCAGGTACAGTGGCTTATACCTGTAATGCTGGCACTTTGGGAGGCCAAGGTGGGAGGATCGCTTGAAGCCAGGAGTTCAAGACCAACCTGGGCAACATGGCGAGGCCGCATCGCTACAAAAAAATGTATAAAAATTAGCTGTGTGATAGTGTTACGTTTGTAGTTCCAACTACCCAGGAGGTTGAGACGGGAGGATCCTTTGAGCCTGGAAGGATGAGGCTGCAGTGAGCTATGATTGTACCACTGTACTCTAGCCTAGACAACAGAGCGAGCCCCTGTGTCAAAAAACAAAAACAAAATTGTACATTCCTTGATCCTGGGACATGGCTAAAGTAGTCACTGGAGACTTAGGGCAATAGAGACACTACATTTTTGTGTCTGTCAATCCGCCTGAACAGATGATCAGAAATGAAATAGAGGCCAGGTGTAGGG